CCCAAATAAGCTCCAAAATGTTCAGAGAAGGCAGGAACAACACGCACTACAATTTACTCTTTATTTGACCAAATTAAGACTGTTTCATAGGAGACCTATCCAGAGTTTATTGTTAGTCATATTTGGATACTCGACATGAAAAATTAATGTTAAAGGATTTAATAAACGTTTTAGTCGGGATGCTAATTTAATCAAACATTAATTAACAGAATTAAAGAGCAAGTCACCCCACACCATAGCCTTATTCCACTCCCACTTCCTGTTTGAAAAATGCAGAAAATGCTGTTGCCCGGCAGACAGAAAGGGTGGAGCCGCTAGCAAACACATACACAGGCTCACGATGATATTGTGACCTCATAATGTACCAGCTAACATCATAGTATACTCATTAGCCAATGGCGGAGGCAGATTTAAATTCAAATGCTGTAGAGTTTTTACCTGAAGAGGGTGCAACACTGACAGTTTTAGACAGAATATTTAAATATTAACTAAGATGCACTAAAGTTTTGAACACGCGTGTCTACAGCATGATTAGACACTCATTTATATAGATTATCAGCAAAAAAAGGTTGATTTGGGGGTGACTTGCTCTTTAATAATAGGCAAAAAATTCCCAAAGAAAACATTTGCATCTATTTAAAATTGTACAAAACTATATTATAGATTATATCTGTGGTCAGAGGTCTGTAATGAAGAGGAGAAAGCAGACAAAGCTAACTTGTCTGTCTTGCTAACAGGAGATCTGCAGACAGCCGGAGTTCATCGTGGGCGGAGCTACTCGTACCGACATCTGTCAGGGAGCTCTGGGTAAGTCCCTGTTGGAGTCCACTCATCTGAATCAGTGCTTCTCTGGCTCTGCTCTGAGAGGAAGTGAAGGATCCAGAGAATATGTGTGAAGTAGTTTAGTTGAATGTAAATATGAAAACTGCTGGGAGATCAGAACGCGCCGAGCGTAGGTTGTGAAAAATTAAACCTTTTGTCTTCTCTGATCTCTGAAGTGACGGATGAGATCAAAACACTTGACAAAAGAAAAAAAAGATTTCTACTGTTAATGAAATGAAACCTCAGTTTAGCAAAAACAATTACCAGCTAGGAATGGACATCTAAAATCTATCGTTGTGTGTTTTGAAGCACGTGAGGCATTCTCACGTGTGGACTCTTTGCACCGATGTCACCTGATCATGTGGGTCTAGTGGTTGGCAAAAGCATGTAAACGGTGAGCGACACGAGTACTAAACGAAGAGGAAAGTAGGGCCTGGAGAAAGCAAAATTGTTTTCGTTGTCTTTTTGCAATTTTTTTTAATAAATTTAAATTATTTAAATTTTTTTAGCATTCCTTCTATTAGTTCAAGCCCATTTATCGTTATCAGAAGTGGTGCACCTAGGTGGGACTTGTGGAGGGCGGTATTTACAAAAGTTAGGTGTTTAATCAGTAAAATATGCTACTGTAGGTTGAACCACAAACTGCTGACTATTTAAGAAACGCACTAAAGCACTCATCAGCCACAGGAGTGGACTACTCCCATTTAAGAAAAAAACCTGCTTGTTTCAACAGTTCAGGTGCATCTGACGAACATGAGTCTGTGTGGTGACACCAAAACGGTCAGACTGGATTTTCTTTGCTCTCAAATTACAGGAAATCATTTAGCAGCACAGAAGTGGTTAATGTAGCTTAAACCCTCTCTAGGAACACCCAGCCAAGTTTCAGTCCTTGTCTGTAGGCTGGGGCCTCTCCCGTTTTCAGGAACGCAAAGTTTTCTTTTGTTATTGTTTAGGACTGTCGATGCATGTGAGTAAATTCTGGTTTCATAACTGTCTGCATGTTTCAACTTGCATGTCTGTCCAGACTTTATTGGGAATACTAACCATTTACCCAATGAAGCCAAATGCTTCCAAGAGCCTTACTTCTAATACTAGATTAGTAATTCCCCCCTAAACCTGCTGATCTGAGTAGCAGGGTGTGTACTAGTTCCCCCATGCTTTCAGAACTGCTTTAATTCTGCTTTACAGATTCAAGACTGTGTTGGAAACATTCCTAAGAGGTTTTTGGTCCATACTGGAGTGATGGCATAACTTTTGCTGCACATCCATCCATGATATCAGTCCACCACAGTGCAACACTTTGGAGTTGTTCTGGGATCTGGTCACTGTTGGGGCTCTTGCATCTTATGACTGATGTGACTGGAGGGGTGGTTTTCTGCTGCTGTAGTCGTATCTGCCAGTGGTGGTTCTTCATGGAATGACTCCCTGGGCGAGACATCCCTTGACCTTTTTTGTTTTAAAACCGCCTCCACATTCATTTCTTCACACGTGTCTTTGGCTGCCATCTGTGCTGTCACAAAGCCACTTGCCCTGTAGCTGTGGAGACCTTGCTTCAACAGACTCACAGCTAGGTCCACATGCGTATTTGGAGACTGCATGAGTTTGCTGGCATGCTATGATCAGTAGACAAGTAATGTATTTCATTAACATGTTCCGTAGTACTGGAAATGCTAAAAACCGGATCGTTGGTGAGGACTGGGGACTTTTTTTCTGCTTGTAGAGTTTATTCATTATTATGTGAACATGATTCATGATCAACCTGTTTTTGTTGTTGTTCAGGAGGCAGGCCGCAGGCTGCAGTGTGCATTTAACGAATCCTCACGCTTGAATCATTAAAAAAGGATTCAAGGAATTATTTCGAGCCATTTGTTTCAAACTTTCAGCCCTATTTGCTCTGTTAGCAATTAGTTGACCGAATTTGACCGTTAAAATCCCCAGTTAACTGGTTAAAAAAGAATTTAAAACATGCCTCCTAGCATGAGAACGTACTACCTTTATCTTTAGCCCGTTTCTGCTCTTTACTTTTCCTGAATTGGGCATCTAATGGTTTAGGCCTTTTTCTGTCCATCTCGTTTGGCTCTCGACTCAATAAACAGGTTTCCAATCGTCAATGACAACAACCAGGAGTCGAGACGAAACCAGTTGACCTTGGTGGGTGACCACAAAATAGTTTTGTTTTTCCTCTTAATTTATTTTTTTGGCCATTTCACACAATACAGAAAAATGTGAAGGAGTTATAGGCCTGTAGTTATAATCGTATGAATTAAATGTGCATTATACGGAAGAACATCGGCCATCTCATACAGTTGATTCAGACCCCCCACCCCCACTCACCGTCTGTTTCATTTGGGAAAGACCCAGAGGTGAATTCCCCCGCGCCCCTCCCTATTCTCTTCTTCACACACATGGCGGTCGCCTGAACCCTCTCAGTGAGCAGGAGCGCCTGCAGCTGCAGGGGGCGCCAACGTGCCGGTTCCAATCCAGACACAGTGATATCTGACAGAGAGGAAACCATGTTGCGGCGCAGGTTTCTTTTTTTTTTTTTTTTACTCAGCGATTGTGTGCCCCCTTTGTGTCATGAAAAAATGCCGTCCCGGGCAGCAGCCCGGTCTGCCCGTGCCTAAAACCGCTACTGGTACCTGCTTCACCATGGGCCCGCTATTGGAACTTCCAGTAAGTTTTACTGGACCTCCATGGTATGAGCATCTGTCCATTTCAGCAGGTCGGCCTGAAAAGACCACTTTCTGGGACCAAACAAGTATCTACCTTAAGGAAATGGCCCTATAGTCGCTGGGTGGGACGTGTGGTTAACTCATGCTGATTGGCTGTGACTCAAATGACATCAAACACACATTTGTAAAATTGAAAGTGTTGCTAGTGAGGCAGAATGGAAGGAAAAGAGACTAAAACACTTTAATTCATAGCTACCACGTGTGTATAACATCGTAGCAAACAGAAACCCTTGCTGCTTCTCTTCTCTGCTGCTGTGGGTCCTTTATGACGCTGCTGAACCGTTTGCTGAGGCGTCAGGGTATCGCAAAGTCCTCAAAGGGCCAGTTTGTAAATGGAGGCACAACGGCTGAGAAGACGGAGCCATCGTATATTTAAGGTCACCTTTTCCTGTCCCAGAAACGAGGCTCGTGGTCGCTCAGAGCTGCTTCTCTGCTGACCTTGGTGGAAACTAGTAGATATTTAAGCTAGCCATCTTCTAAAACCGGTTTGACCATCATCCTCTTACCTCTGACGCCATGTATGTGGCTGTTTTTTGTGACTATTCCTGGTAAACCCCACAGACGTTTGTGGTTGGCAACAGGGCACCGGCATCAGTTCAGAGCCTCGAGTCCCGTTTCTTTTTCATTCTGATGCTCTATTTGAACTCAAGCAGGTCATGTCTACCACTTCCAGGTGCTTACCATAAATGCATTGATTTTGATTGGCTGATTTTTGTATTAATAGGAAATTAAACGGGTGCCTCTAATTTGTTTATAAACTGTCATTTTGGCTCTGTAGGGGACTGCTGGCTGTTGGCAGCCATCGCCTCGCTGACCTTAAATGAAGACCTCCTCCACAGAGTGGTTCCTCATGGACAAGACTTCCAGCATGGATACGCTGGCATCTTCCACTTCCAGGTAGCAACAGTACCCCATCTTGTGTGTTTCTGTAGTCTGGTGAGACGGGATTCTGCCCTGATCTGTAGATGGATATATAATCACTGTTTTTTGGGGTTAAAGAGCCTCTGAGGATTCTCTTCTCAATATAAAATCTCTTCAGTAAACGTGCTGATGGTAGCATCTGGGGGCGGCTGAAACTTGGAGGCAGAACATTCCCAATTCAGTAGAAAACGATGGTTGCTGTTTGCAGACGACTGAGGCTTGGATCCTGTGGATTAGTTTTTGGTAGTAGGCAGTATTAAGCGTGTAGGTTTAAGCAAAAGTAACAGAGCAAGTCACCGTGAATGTAGAATGATGCAATAGTCCTAAACAGTTTTCAAAGTGTTCACGTTCCTAAAACGATCTGTAGTTTTACGCTTCTGCAAGGTGAAAACACAGGAGTGGCTTTTAAATCGGTGAAAACCCTGGAATGACTCCACCCAGGTTCACGCCTCTGAGCGGTGTTTCCAGACAAAGGCTTGAAAAGCTTGTATAATAGTTTCCTAGAAGTGTCGAGGCTACCCGTTGTGCACAAGCATTCAAACACTCACAGCGATGGAATGCTTTAGTCGTTCTGTAGATAAATAAAACTCCCAAAACGCGGCTTGGCTTTATCAGTTTGGATTGTGTTTTAAACCAATAAAGGCGCGAAAGGAATTCCATTAAGGTTTGTTCAAAAATGTTGCTAAAAGTAAAAATGGCTGGAATGACAAAAGGGTAAGATTGTAATCGGATGCTTCCAACACCAATCCAGCTAAAATCAGATGATTTGTTAAAAACAGACTTATTTTATGTGACTTAGGTCCTCATAAAGGATTGTGATTGGGACATTTAAAGAGATCCTTCACTGAAAAAAACATTTTTACTTGATATTAATAATCAGTCACTCAGAGATTTTCATGCAGGCTGATCAGGAAAATAGTCTCCTACACCTATCTGCTGCATTAGCTTCTGATGGAAAACAGAGAAACTCTAGGATTAGAAAATTCTGACAGATCTACATCGCACTGTCACTCGACTTGACTCATGGCGGGGAAGGCTGTTGTCGGTTTAGCGTCTAGGAAACAGCATAGGACGTCTAGACTAGTCAAAGCTAACATTAGCATTAACAAGTCCACCACACAGCAGAACTCCGGCAGGCTTGTGTTACTGGAGGAGATCTAGAGCAAACGGAGTGAAGGTGTGGCACATTTAATATTTGAAACAGTCCAACGTGCTAGCCAAGGGTAGGCGACACGGCCCAGTCATCGAGATAGTAACGAGTGTTCTGAAGGAAAAAACATGAATCTGACTATATAACGACATACAAAAAAAACTTAACATTCATGAATTAATTGGCAATAATACTAGGGTTGAATTCAGAGAAGAGGGTAATTGATGGATCATTATGAATTTTCTTGGTTTTTCGTCTTTGCTTTTGTCAAGCTGAGGACTCACAGCTCAACTTTTCTGACTGAAGCAGCTTTTTGTACCTGGCCGACCCAGGTGACTCGCTGAGGGTGGCCAACCTCGCTGCTGCACACCCGATCAGGCACAGGCAAACATACCCAGGGTTGCTGTTCAGAACACCGTGACCTCAGCCAACAGGCGCTGAATCAGATAAATGTATCTAAAACTCTGTTTAATGCCTCGTAGATCTGTATCTGGAACAGGGCGACCGGCTCTGCTGCTCTGAAACATGAGAACTCAATGTTTTAGTCTGTTGCTGCTTTTGGGAGCTAGCTGCTCCTTATCAGCTTCTTTACTCAGGTGATGACACACTGTATGGAAATCTGTCACAGCAGAGGTTTACACTTACACACAGAGGTGTGTGTGTGTTTTCATTATTAAAGGAGACTGGATGGAGGAGCATCATTAGGTCACATGTTCCACTTCTAGGGTCCATTTTTAACTATGAAATGAATGAATGACACTGAAGTATAAAGCACTTTGGAGTAGAGGGCGACTAATGTTGGTTTTCTATTGCTGATGCCAATATGTAAAGGTCACGGTCGGCGGATGTGTGCTGCCGATGTCCACGGCAGATATCTAGATGTTTTCCACCTCATTTCCATGCTGACACAAATAACGTCAGTTGATGCACAATATTTCAGTAGCCGAATCAGTTTTTGAACTCTGAATTTAACCATCTGTTAAGTCTTGATTTTGTGCACCTCTCAGACGCCGAACTAAAGGCAATCAAACTAATCAGTAAACTGACCAAGTATTAAATATTAAAATAGTAAATAAAAATGCATTTTAGTTGGAGAAAACATTTAGAGCACAGATGTTACTCAGGAATGTAAAAATACTCTTAAATCATATTCTGCAGCAGCAACAGGCTGCCCAGGGATGTGCCTGTTTTTAAAGCAGCTTTACTAAGGAGGTTTACTATCCCATAATAAAAATAGTCTTATCAACCCGATATATCGGTCTGCCCCTACTTTGGATTCCTCTGACTCTGAAAGGCCAGGCATCTTTATTCATACAGCACATTTCTGGGCACGTCCAACTGGGAGGAGACCCGAGGGAAGACCCAGGACACGCTGGAGGGACTATGTCGCTTGGCTGGACAGGAACACCTTTGGATTCCCCCAGAAGAGCCGGTCCAAATAGCTGGGTAGAGGGAAGTCTGGGTGTCTCGGCTTAAGCTGCTGCCCCCGCGACTCGACTCTGGATGAGTGGCTGAAAATAGATGGATGGACTTTTCATACACAGAGGCAATATGGTTTACAGGCGCTATACAAGTGAGGGTCATTTCTCATTTAGCTCTGCAAATCGGTCTAGCCATGCTCCATTGCAGCCTCAGCAGTTTTACTATTGGTCTGAACAGTTTTAGATCTGGCCAATCACAGCGCTCTGTAGAGGCGTGGGGCGCTTGTTTGAAACGGTTTTGGCGTCAACTTTGGAGGATTTAGACTTGGCCTTTTCTTTCTTTGAGACTCGAGCAGATAGAAGTGCTTCTTTTTCTTCTATGGTGTGTGGCGGCCGGCCCCGTTGACTGACTTCAGTAGCATTGTTCATTGCTCCGATTGGTCCTAGTGCTGTCCAACTGAACGTGGAGATGCCCTGTAAAAAAACAACCTATATAAACTACACAATAAAATTGAGTTAACAACTTGCTTAGTTAATTTATACCCCGTATGTATTTAAATTGTACCTTATATTCAAAGTTAAGAAAGTGTGTGTGTGTGTGTGTGTGTGTGTGTGAATTCTAACTGACATTTATTTGTAAATATTACCCAATTTTCTAAGCTAGAGAATGCCAAACTAAATTGTACACAGATGCCAGAGCTGGGATCAGTCCTGCAACCTTCTGCTTACTGGACCACCTGCTCTACCTTCTGAGCTATACTGCTGCCCAATCTAATACTGGTATGAATATGAATTTATTCAAACAAAAGCAATAAAATATAATCTGGTTTATAAATGCTGAACCGAACTTTCCTTCACTATTGCTCGAGATTGTTTTTAGACAATTTAAGGGCTTCTGTAGCTCTACACATAAATATTTGAAATGGAAAGCAAATGCAGCACAGAAGTGTGAACAGATACTCTGGCCAACATGTACAATTGTTCTATTTGTTAATTAAATAAAATCGGTAATCCATCAGTGCTGAACTAATCATTTTGGGTAAGTTCTACTCATTACAATTTGGTTCTGTTTGTTAAATAAAATGGGTAGAATTAACTCTTGTTTATTTCAGTCTTTAACTATTATATTTAGTCACATTTTAGATGATTTTATTGGGTTATATTAAACATTCCAAAAATTATTTTCAGTGAGTTTGAAAAACACACATGGATCACACCCCAAGATATTTATAATTTAACTGAAATTTTATGAACCTTCACATTTCAATGAGCACGGGTGCAAATGTTGCTGCAAATAAGTGAATAAAATTAGTGTTCAGCTTTGTTGTTTTGTGCAGAAATAAATCCTGACTTGCATCAACAACATATTAGTGCTATCAGTTACTGAGCAGGTGTGCTTGATAAAGAAAAATGGGGCATCGGTGCATCTGTGGTTATTTTTGGCTGAAAACATTAATATTTATTTCTGCTGGACGAGAACTCCAGATCCACAGCTGCTTCTGTGGAAAGTTATTAAAATAAATCTGAAGGCATTTTTTAGATCTCCACATCAAATCTGACTCGAGCTAATCTGTGGTGTTGCTGGAGTACAGACTTGCTTTTATTAGCAAAAAGATGGAACAAAATTCACACTGAACACACCCAGAAACATAAAGTTCACTCTAAAATACTCTATTTGTCTTGTGTGAAATAGGATTTCGACGCAGAATAATTGTATTACTTGCAGTAATAATACAGTTCTGATGAATCCTGGAGCCCAATCACCCTCTCATCCTGCTGTGTCACTGCTCCTCTGAGCTGATATCATTACTCTTGGTGCAGCAGGCTCTCTGCCAACCACGCTGTCAGCAAACCTGCTAAAAGCTCTGGGATGTGGAGGAAATGTGAAGAAAACAAGAAACCGAAGCAAGACACACACACACACACGCACGCACGCACGCACGCACGCACACACACACACACACACACACACACACACACACACACACACACACGCACGCGCACACACACACACACAGAGCTGTGCTTGCTCGTTAGGCTGAAGCACTGTGTTTCCAATAAAGATGATTCCAGCTCTGCATCAAAACTCTAGAAAGTCCTGAAGGCAGGGACCCACGTGGGCTAAATGCCTCAACATGCTGCACGACTTCCGCTGAGGTCTCACCCATAACCAATCCTCCACCGCCCTACCCCCTCGTCTCCCACAGATGTAATTACTCTGACAAAGACGAATGTCTTTCATCAAACTGTGGTGCTGCACTGAAACCACTTTTGTTGTTCAGGAAATCTCTTCAGATACTTGTGGCATGCTCAGATCTCCAAAGATATGCTACAATTTCAACCTTCTGCACAGTTCTTTATGCCATAATTAAAGGAAAAACTCAATCTTCAGACATTTTTAACAAGCAGATTTCAGTGAACCCTTTCAGCCTTCAGTGGAGAGGATTACCTTTTATTTATACTACCTTGTTGAATGGAGATTTACTGTAATTTATATGAATAAACTCCTATATTAAAGTTGCTGTTTTCTCTTTTCAGGAATTATGTAGGCTGTTTCAGAAATCTATAATGTATCTTATGTACTGTTATGTAATGTAGGAAATATGTTTTTATTTATTTTTTGCTAAGCCCGCCCCCTGTCCCATAGAGCTCATTGCAGTATGAGCTGAGCGCCGGTCACATGGCATTAGACTACTGATTACTAGTGATGCACCAAAATGAAGCTTCTGGGCCGATACGGATATCTGATATTAAGATCACTGTTATGGCCGATAACCGATATGCTGACATAAATGCTTCTAAAATCAGCAGATTTTGTATAGAATGAAAATTATTAAAGCTGAATTTACGTTATTATGAACTCACATAACACACACATTTACGGTTCTGAGATGATTTAATTCACTGTCACATGACTAAACAATTACACATCACCCTCCTCCACCCTCTGAAACTGGCAAACAAAGACGAGATGGAAAGAATATTGGTAATATCAGCCCGGTTTTATTTATCAAACAGACACTGATATGTTAAAAAATGACTAACATCGGCCGATACCGATACTGATGCTGATTTATTGTTCATCCCTACTGATTACGTACAGACGTCAATCACAGGGCGAGCTCCGGCGTCTAAGGACGGACCTCGGTTTATGCAGGATGGCGACCTTTCTCATGGACAAATTAGTTTAAAATATAAATATATGAAAACATGACATGAGCTTTAGCTGCATTTGTGTGTGTGTGTGTGTGTGTGTGAAATTTCCAAGAAAAAAATGTTTATAAACTCCTGATTTGCATTAACACACACGAGGGAGGGTTTGTCCCTTTGCAGAAGGGTTGTTTTGTTATAACCGATGCACAAAACAAACAAAGCAAAAATATCTTGCAACAAAAAATGCAAAAACTTAAAGAAGGCTGTTTAAAAGTGGCGATAGGTGTTTGGGTCCTTAGTTGTCCAGCAGGTTCTGGTTCTAATGAACGTTGATTTCCATTCTTGTAGGGGCCAACGACGTTGACTGTTTTCTGAGTGGAAATTCTCGAATTTGTGTTGAACATCTGAATATCCACACGTTATCAAAGTAGCAGGCTCCTTAAACTTCTAGTTTTAACCCGACATGTGCAGAACCAGACACTCCTGCAGGTTCTGATTTATGATTTGTGAGTAGGCCTCTTAGCTCCGCCTCCCAAGCGAAACATGTGATGTTGACCAGCTGGGCTCTTCTCACATCTCCACAATGTCATTTACACCCTAATGACAAACATGGAGCATGCTGGAGGAAGAAGAAGAAGAAGAAAGAAGAAAATATCGTTTCTTTAGCACCTCTCAAGATAAAAATCACGAGGCACTTCACAAAAACAAAAAATGTAAAAATATAAAAAATAATTTAGAAAATGATTAAAAATATATTTAAAATGAGCAAAAAATAGGCTAAGAAAAGAACGTCTCCTGGTTCTGATCTGAACTCCTGGGTTTCTGGTTTGGCTTGGAGCCAAGTCATCTGTATATGTTTGAGTTTCCTGCTTCAGACTGTTGGACCTTCTAAAATGTGACACGTGTTGAAGCTTGGGTTTATCTGAACAGGAACAGGTCTATGCTGCCCCCTGCTGGTCAGCAGCCTCTAACAGGGAAAATCCCACCATGCTTTACTCAACTAAAGCCACCAAGACTGAGATCTGGTGAAATCTAAACTCGTTACCTTAGACATTTTATTATCTTCTGATAAGAAATGTATTTGTGAAAATTTTAGCATTAAGTTGATCATAATTTTAGGGAACAGTCGAGTGATCGCTCTGCATGAGTCCTGAAGGATAAAGGTGTGCTCTACCTGTTCGATCAGGTCTGACTGGGTTTAGCTTCCTCTGTAATCCTTTCAGAGAAACTCATCCGCCTTTTATTCATGGTGTTTAGACCAGCTGCTGTAAAACTAGTTTGAATTGGAAAACGATCCCAAACTGTCAGATGAGTTCTCAGAAAGAAAACGTCCCAACTTCCAGTTTTCAGACTGAATGATGGGAAAACAAAAAATGTAACATTTTTCCTTGCTTTAGTTTTTGGTGTTTGATAAAATGAGAGGTTGGTGCGGTTGCAGCTCTGGAAATAACAGAAATACTTCAGTAATGGAGAACACGAGTCTAGTAGGTAAGGACAGATGGATGCTTTTGCTGCACATGTCTGAAGGAGTCAGAATCAGCAACCCTAACCCTAAACTTCTTTCTACACCTGTAACCTTGTTCTCAGACACTTCTGCTCTCTCTGATGTAGTTCTGGCAGTTTGGCGAGTGGGTGGATGTGGTGATAGACGACCGGCTGCCAGTGAAGGACGGGAAGCTGCTGTTCGTCCACTCGGCAGAGGGAACCGAGTTCTGGAGTGCTCTGGTGGAGAAGGCCTATGCCAAGTAAGACTGGAACCACTGGAAGATGTTTAATCGCTGTGTTGAACAACCGTGAAGCCTAATGTAGAGACAAACAAATGAGCCTATCTACATGGAGATCGTATCCACCGTAGTCCTGGGTAGGCTCATGGAGAAATGATGATGCGAGCAACAACAAGCAGCAGGTTTGCCTGGTGAGGTGTTGTTGTTTGTAGATGTTTTCTTTTAACTCATTCACTGCCAGCCGTTTCCTGATCACTAACGGCCTTCGCTGACAGCGTTTCTCACTGTTTTTACTGTTTTTTTAAGAGTCACAGAACGTTGCGCGCTAGCATGATGCTGATGCCAAAAGAACCAAAACAAAGAGGAGACTCACCTCTTACATCAGGAAGAAGCCGCGTGTTTCGAGCGTTATCCATTCTTTCATAATCCGTTGTCAAATTGTGATCGGCAGACGCTTTTCCGATTCGCGCCTCACTTTTTTTTACAGGAACGGCCCAAAACGATCTACAAACACATGGATGTGTTGCTTCCTGATCATGTGATCTGTGACGTATGCGGATGAAGATCGGCTTCAGGGCTGAGATGTTTGTTCTCTCAGCACGGGGGCTCGTTCTGATGCTCAAACAGTAAAAAAAATGCAAATGACGACTTTAGTCGTCAATGGCAGAGAATGAGTTAGAGGATTTAATAAAAGATGCACTCTGTGGATCAGGAACATGTTGCGCTGTTGGCGGTTCTAAAAACCAGTGAAAGTTACATTTATGGCTTTAAGAGATGCATTCCACTTTGGCTGCACATCGACGCACGAGGACTCTGCCTTTCCACATCTGACTGCACTCTCAACCTGAAACAAACATAATTCATGAATATATACACTGACTATAGAGCAGGGGTGTTCAATTCAGCTAAGATGCTACTGTGTGTTAGCTTAGGTCAGATTTTACGATCTCCACCCATCTATTGCTGTAGGCAGGATGGTTCACATGGTTGCATCTAAAAAGACCATATTAGTGGATTAGTGAAGGCACCATACCATCTATCTACCGTCTCCACGTAGACAAATGCTGGACCGGAAGTCAGTCACGCTTTTCACACAAAGGACCACAGGGAGGAGGAATAGGGTCAATACTTTTTTCCAATTTTCTCATGAGTTATAAATCAGAAGCTTTTCACAGTAAAATAATAAAATGTAAACTTTTATTTGTTGGACTTTCCATGTGAACAGAGACGTGGCTGGTATAGAGCACCACCCTGTGGTTGTTTAACATCACAGAGCACCAAACATCTGTCCAACACTTGGTTTCTCTAAACAGTTTTCAGATTGTTTTATTATTGAGGAATTCTAGTTTAAACGAAGGAACTTCATGTACAGAACAGGACGTACTTTAAGGTCTGAGCTTAAGCTCACAGCTGCTGGAGTGCACAGCTGTTCTAATGAAGCGCTACATTGTTCACACACACACACACACACACACACACACACACACACACACACACACACACACACACACACACACACACACACACACACACACACACACACACACACACACACACACACGTTTGCGTGTCAAGTTAAGAGCTTTACCAGCTGAGTAGTAAAAGTGGGATGCTATGTTATAAAACATGTGCTGACTCGTGTGAGTGTGTGTGTGCGTGCGTGTGTGTGTGTTCGTTCTGACGGTTTAATATTTAAAGTTTAGCTTCTCGTAACCATATCAGTTCTGTGTCCCAGACTGAACGGCTGCTACGAGGCTCTGTCAGGTGGCAGCACATCAGAGGGCTTTGAGGACTTCACAGGCGGCGTGACGGAGATGTACGACCTGCAAAAGGCTCCGTCAGACCTCCACAGCATCATTCGCAGAGCCGTGGAGAGAGGATCGCTGCTCGGCTGCTCCATTGACGTCAGTCGTTCATCTGTCTACTCCCACTAAGATCATACACTTCTAATAAGGATCATGTGATTGTGTTGCCCGACAGGTTTGTTTAATATGAGAAAGAAGAGGATCAGGACTCATCTTACGCCATTAGTGTTACACTAATCATGTTAGACTTTAGTTTATCTTTTTGCCTTCCATATATTTGATTTAGTGGAAAAAAGTAGTTAATCTCAAATTTTCTCCTTACAGAAAGGATTGCAATCATGTCAGAAACACATGATCACTCAGCCGCGCTCACTCACGTGGTTTAACCGAAGCTTCTAATCGCTTCATCACGAGGGTTTTATCTAGTTAAATGATTAGAATCAGTCGCTCAGCTGGAGTTTGTTTCAGCATCGGGCCGGAGAGCCAGGGTCTCATGCATCACCTTATTAGTTGGTGCTCTGTGCTTAGACTTTCCTAATACCTGCACTTTATAGGACTGACAGAGGTAAGGGCTGGACTTTTGTATTAATCACCAACAGGCGGAGCCAAAATCACAAACTGACTCAGACGGTAGAAGCCAGTTTTCCAGATGCAGTGGTGGGTAGCTGTTCATGTCATGGAGGAAATAAGAGAATAAATAATGTAAAGAAATCACCAAAGATAAAGCACAGATTGCAGCCGGGTGCTATTTCCACACGAATACTTTTGCAGAACAAATTAACTTTTAAAGGATGTTGCTAAGTTTTCTTTAAAGAACTGCTGCATTAGTCCCATCCATCAATATGTTCCTTAATAAAAGTCAATATCTAATTGAAATAAATGTAATCAAATGTTAAACGTTTGATTGCTGCTGCTTTGCAAAACAAGCCAGAAGGAAACTAGGACTGATTTGGTAGAGAACCCATGGGAACTCGGAGGAAACCTCCAACAGAACCGATTAAAATGTTTATTTGCAGACTGGGAGCACTGAACCTCTCAGTGAAGGACATTTTCTCTAATCAGTGTCCCTTGTTTGGGTTTGAAGGACCAGTCTAGCAGGGACAGTTTAGAGTAATTTCTCTGACGATGTTTATTAACATTTCTGTCATTCTTAATGATTTTATAGCCGCTACAATGAAATGTCGCTGTGCTGATGAGACTGGTCTACCATGTGTCTTCTACAGATCACCAGCACAACCGACATGGAGGCCGTCACATTTAAGAAGCTGGTCAAGGGACACGCCTACTCTGTGACTGGTGTGGACGAGGTGAGCCGTGACACACAAGGAAGTGGGTTCAACCTAAACCGTTTTTAGAAAGGTTATCGTAAAAGTACAGCTAAAGTCACACAGCGAACAACCTCTAAGACTGTGTATACCATCTGCCCAATACAAGTTTCTATTATTTTGGATGACTTCATCGTCCTTCGGCTATAGCAAACTCTTTGCTGGTCGTTTTTTATGAGTGATGTTTTCTATTTCATGTAAATTAGTCTTACAAAGCTTACGAACAACCACACACAAGTCATTTTTGCAACACAGTTCATATTCATAACAGCTAGGATCCATGAAATATGGCAATCTAACCATAACTGTCGGCAGAGTAGAGATCCATAACGATGTCTAACTCACCCTTTGGTGCATCACATCACCGACGGAACAAAAGTCGATTGTTTTATTATTATTATTAAAGTACTCCAAGTGGTCGGTCCACGATGAGTCTTGTGTTCACAGCCCGGCGTATTATTGATACTTTGCACGTGGGTCCGCCAGTAGAGTGAATTACGGGAGTATTGAATGGAGGACAAAAGTGGAGAATGAGGTTGTTCTGCCAGTTTAAACTAGTTTCTACTGGTTTAAGCCCAGTTAACTAGTGGAACGGTTTAGCACACATATCTCCAGCAAAAATAAGAACATTACCGTATTGTCCCGAATGTAGGACGACCCTGATTATAAGACAACCCTCCTAAAAGCTTAATCTTCAGGAAAAGACAAAAAAAAATTAGCTTTTTGAATAAAGTTTTTTTTATTGTAAATGTGAGAACAAATACTGAGTAAAAATACTATTTTAATGCAAACTATCAGAACGTTGCTGACATGTGAAATCAAAAGTCAAATGGGGCTTTTATTCAGACGCCCTCTGCCTCGCTGAACTCACTCATGCTGCTGCGGTCCTGGTGTACCATCAGATCACCACACCTGCCGACTCCTCCCAGAACGCCGTCCTCACTGCAGTCCAGTACATCCATGCATGTAATGTTTGACGCCTCTGCTGAATTGACCACCGTCATCTTAAAATTAGCATTCTGCCTCATAGTTTGTTAACTTGCCCCACTTTCGGTCCTCTGCTCCTGACCGCTCCTCTCCATTTTTTCCCCTGTTGAGAACACACAGCCTGGTGCCCTCTGCTGTTACGTGTGTGTAAAGGTTAGACCCCGATAATAAGACGACCCCACGTTTTAAATTTATTTTCAATGAAAAAACCTTGTCTTGTATTCCGGTCAATAAGGTAAATATGTCGGATGAAAGTCCAAAAATATTTTGACGGCTGCCATGTTAGATCAATCGCTGCAGTAGCTGAGGAGGTAGGGTGGGTTTTCCAGTAATCAGAAGGCTGCAGGTTTAATCCCGGCTTCATGAATGCTGCCGTTGGGCAAGACACTTAACCCCCCTTGCCTGTGGGTGGTGATCAGAGGGACTGGTGGCGCCTGTGCTCAGAAGCCTTGCCTGTCATTGTTGATCGACACATCAAATATCCAACGAAATTCAAAAACGACAATCTCAAGCATGACGAACCCTCTGGTTATGAAGGATTGTGACTGGTGGAGCACTCGGGTCAGGCCCACAGAACGTCTAAATTAAACCTGCACGAATATTTTGTCCAACATGTTTGGGATTGAAGGATGTCGCTTAAGAAAAGTTTACTTATCATCAAACATTAGCATATGGCCTCAGTTAGCTTTGGTTTTAGCTGCACTTTTACTATCCGTTAGCTCATCAGTCCTGTAGGATATAAACTGTTATTTGTAGGTTTTTATTTAGAACAGGTTACCCTTTACACAGAAACACACCTCTGCATCCCCCCACATCTGAACGGACAATCTTAAGTACTCTAGGTGGCTCGTGCCAATGTTATTACCGTCAGGTGACTCTGACGCACACTTCGAGTTGGTTTCCAGTTTAGTTCCATTCATTCATATATTCCACCAACTTTACTGCAGAAATCTGCTCGCCATACGTGCAAAAAACTAATAGTAAGTGTGTGTGTGTGTGTGTGTGTGTTTGTGTGCGCACGCGTGTGTGTGTGTGTTTGTGTGCGCACGCGTGTGTGTGTGTGTGTGTAACCTGCAGGTGGTTTACAGAGGAACTCCTACAAAGCTGATCCGGGTCAGGAACCCATGGGGGGAGGTGGAATGGACCGGGTCCTGGAGTGATAAGTAAGATTCTCCTGTGATATTTATGGATGTCTGCAAACGTATACATAAACGCCCTCCTGAAGGCAACAGTTATTTTAGTGGGTCAAAATATCCATCATAACTAATTAAGATTATTAATAAATCTTAATTAAATGCATTCATATTCAGGGACATTATTCCAAGAGAGTTTCAAAGAAAAACTGGATTTAGCTCCTGATGTGATAAAAGAAAGTCCAGATATGGACGCAATTCTGTTTGACATAAGAGGATAACAGATGGTCCCTCTGGTACTGCTGAACCAGATCAGCTTACACACTTCAGATGTTTTCCTTGCATCTGTTTACATGTTGTTGATGGGACACCACGTGTGAAGTCTCTGGTTTAAGAACTTATATTTGGAACGATTGAACAGAAATGCACCTGAAACCCAAATAGGAACTCACATCAGTGTGAATTCTGATGGTTTACTTATGTAGGAATGGGTTTTTAAGCATCCTTTGGCGAAACGTCTGTTGTCTGATGTCCTTGTGAACGTTTTAGCTCCAGAGAGTGGGACAGTGTGGACAGCTCCACCAGAAGTCGGCTGCAAAACCGCAGTGAAGACGGAGAATTCTGGTAAGTCTCCAAACCCTCCCAACACCTCGTAGCAAACCTTTAGAAATCTGATGATCCAGAATAAAACCAAGACTTGGGAGTCTAACCCACTCTTCCATCTGTCAGGATGGCCTTCAACGAATTCCTGCGAGAGTTCAGTCGTCTGGAGATCTGTAATCTGACCGCAGACGCCCTGCAGAACACCCAGATAAAGAAATGGTCTACATCGCTCTTTCAGGGGGAGTGGAGGCGAGGCAGCACTGCTGGAGGCTGCCGTAATTACCCAGGTGATGATGGATCTGAATAAAGAATGGAGATAAACCAAGTCAAAGGGCATCTAAATGTTCTTTTCCCATTTTAGGTTAACGTATGTCTTTAGGCTAAAGTGCCATGGTGTTCAGCCTAGCCTGAAATGCACTACATCATCATTTTGCTTTACTTAAAAGGCGTGGGTCACTAAAAACACATTTTTAAATCAGTCTTTGAGTGTTTCATGCAGGCTGAACATGAAAATAGTCTCCTACACCTATCTCCAGCATCAGCCTCTCATAGAAAATAGACGGTGAAACTCTAGGATTAGACAGATCTACGTCACACTGTCGCTTAACATTCATGGACTCGCCCATCTTGACTCATGATGAGGAAGGCTGTTGTTGGCTTAGCGTCCGGGAAACAGCAGAGCACGTCTCGGCGAGTTTAGCTAGAGACCACTGCAAGTGCATAGATTAAATTAGTAATCCACTCCTTAAGTAGGTTGTTGTTGGAAAGCCCCTCTCGTCATCACATTCACTTTGCCTGCAGCTTCGTTTTGGCTGAATCCTCAGTTTAAGATCAACCTGCAGAACCCGGACACGCCTGGCAAGCGAGACTGCAGCTTCTTGGTTGCACTCATGCAAAAGGACCGCAGGAAGAAGCGACGGGAGGGCGAAGACATGGAGACCATTGGGTTTGCTTTGTATGAGGTCAGCAGTGACTCTTAAGAACCCTCAGAGATGCTCATACTAATTTCTGCAGTTACAATTTTCTCTTCTGTTGTTTTTTTGCAGGTCCCAAATGAGGTATGAGTTCTTCTTTTATAAAGTAAATTTGAACTAATCCAGATGTTTGCATGTGTTCATGGAATATCTGTCTGAAGTGCTCTGGAGAATTATTTCTTCAAACTTCCTTCTCAGTTCTTGGGGCAAACAGGGGTCCACCTGAAGAAAGACTTTTTCCTCACTCACGGCTCCAGTGCTCGTTCCGAGCAGTTCATCAACCTGAGGGAGGTCAGCTCACGGCTGAAGCTGCCCGTCGGGGAGTACATCGTTGTCCCCTCCACGTTTGAGCCCCACAAAGACGGCGACTTTGTCCTCAGGGTGTTCTCCGAAAAGCCTGCAACCTCAGAGTGAGTGCTGTAAGAGCATGCAGAGGAGGTCTGAGTAGAGATGAGCTTTGCTTGTGATTTTTGTGCTACAGCAAGGTGAGAAGTCTGCATAGCAACTGGGATCAATATCCTGAGCCTAGGGCCCTTCGCTGCCCTTGGAGTGATTTTGCGTGGCCCCCAATTGCATTTCTAGAATGAATTTAGTCCCTTTTAGATGTTTGTGTAGATGGGTACTTTCTAAAAATTTGATGTACAGATTTATACCTGGGACCTATTTTGCATAGTAGACTTTGGGGGAGAATCGCCATATAATCAGTTTTGCACTTCTAAAATGACAAAATCACATTTTTGTAGCCCGTGAGGATTGTTCACTTGATGATTTAGGCTCTTGTCTTGTTTGGATACCCCTGTGTTAGATCAATACGGTGCACTTTTGACGAGACATATTTTATTTATTAACCAGTTTTAGGAGGGTAAAAGCTACTTGAGATGTGCGATTTTGTTTTCTCACTATATAGGGAGCCTAATTCACGCCCGTGGGTACCCAGAAGAACGAAAAAATGAATGCAAGTCAACGGGACTGAAAAACGCTATTTTCTAATTCCGCTTGTTTTGTGCCATGGATTTCACACGTGATGTCTGTGAATTTTAGAGACACTTTTGATACCAAGAACGCGCTTATTTTCGAACAGGGGGAAACATTATTTTAGGTTTTGTGTGAAAGTGAGTCCAGGACTACAAATGCGCTTCACAAATGTGACGTCATCGAACGAGACACGAGGAAAACGGAGAGCAAAGGCTGTAAGTTTAGCGAACTTCAAATACTTCCTTCAGAAGGGAAAAAACCACCATAAATCTGGCCATGGTGTAAGTAGCAGCTACGCTAGGGCAGAAGAGATTATGTGGTGACGTCACATATGCGACGTACCGATACCTGGTTTGTAGTTGTGTGAATGATGAACTTCGACAAGCTGATAAATCTCAAAGTACGTGACTGGCGTGGTCGAAACACCCGTCATTAGTTTTCATTTAAATTGCAGCACAACGTATGTGTGATCCAGGGCGTGAGGCAAAGCGGATTAGAAAATAGCGTTTTTAGACCCGTTGACTTGCATTTATTTTTTCATTCTTCTTGGGACCCATGAGCCGACCGGAAGGGGAGGAGACTTGGACTCCCTATGGCATGGTTGGTACTGTTTTCATGACTTTTACTAGGAGAGCAAGTGGGTTGAATCTTCAGCAGTACATGTTGGTATTTTATAATCTTTCAGAATACAGACTCTCATTAGTGTATTGGTTCAACTTTCAGCACCTGTCTGATATTCTTTTGGTTCGTAGTCATGCAGCTCTCAAACTAAAGGGTATTCAGAGAATAATTGCAACAGGACTGAAGTAAACCTCGATTAGAAGCTGATATGAGGGTTAATACCAGTATTTTACTGGGCTGAGACTGTTGGTGGTACAATTATCATAAAAGAGGCATGTTTTCTTTGGAATTGCATCTCGTTGCATTTCATTGATACAGGTTTCTATGGCTGGATTATGTGGGCCATAAAACCTAAAGGCCAAGTTCACTGAGAACCAGTTTTTTTACTTCAGATTTTAGAATTGGATGAACCTGACAGTTTCACATTACATTGTCAAATTGGCATTTATGGACTCGCCCATCTTGGACTGTGGACGGGGAAGGCTGTTGTTGGTTTAGTGTGCAGGGGTCTCTTGTGTCAAATGTTTGTAGAGACATTCCTAAATTCCTTCCTATGAATGGAATTTAGAATGTTCGTACAAACGGTCAAAATCCTGATGTATTAAACACGTGATGGCCTCTCATACGTGTTTTCCTCCGCACTTGTCTGATAAATCCCACCTGTGCGTACCCAGGTGCTTGTGTCCGTTCTCAGTCATTGACATACAGGAACGCCCTTGTTTAACCATATTTGGTCATGCTACGTCCTCGGCACGTGAGGGAATTCCCTACGTTCTACTCGGAAAAAAGGGGAAACTTGCGAGATCGAGACACTGGCTGTCGAAGTGCAGAAGAACCAAATGAGTAGGAGAGGTTATAAATGCAGTCGGGAGAGAGGAGAGGTTCCTGTCGGGAATAAAAAAAAAACTTAAATCTGATAAATCGTTGAGTAACGGGTTGTCATTTATATTTTACATTTAACGAGTCATTCTGGGTGGTGTTCGTTTTATTTGGAAATGTCTGAACGCAGCCTCTTCAAAGCTGTCACTCAGTCTGGTTACCTTGGCAACGCGTGTGTGATCGAGGAGCAGAGGAGGTTCTGGGGTTCTCGTAGTTATAAAGTAGAATATGAATTATTTGTAATGATCTGTCGCTCCACAATGAGTCCCAAATCACAGCACAGCTCCAGACGGATCTCCTGTCAGCGCGCTCACGGAAACCCGTTTACTCCGTAGAGGAGCCCTGACTGGTCCTTTATAATAATATAGAAACGTTTTTTCCATCTACTGCATCTCGAGCAAAATCACGAGGCATCTTTAGAGGACAAAAATATAATATTATAAAATTAAATTAAAAAGATAAAAAAATTTAATAAAAATGGGAAGAAAAAATTGATTACAACAAACGACAGCCTTTCCACAATGTCAGATCCTTGTCAGGTGTTTCAGCACCAGTTATGTGACTCAGCTGTTTTTCCACCGAAATATTTAGTTCATGGGTAAAATAATGTATGGATGAGGAACATGTGTGGACGACTGAGACCTTTGGAGTTACGGTTCCTCTGTTTTACCAATAGTTGATGGTTCTACGCATTGGTCTGAAGTTTTCTTATATTTAGGAACGTTTCCTCGTACATGTACAAAATGATGAATACCACACAATGCGTAAAATAGTTCCTACGCACGATACACGCACAGATCTGTTCATAAGTACGGTAGATACATGAGGTCCCTGGAGAGAGCAGAGCACGTTTTGGCAAATAGAAGCTAACGTTGGCATTAGCAACGCCACCACACAGCAAAACTGGATGAAAATGGATGAAATCCCACCATCTCCAACTCACCCTCTCTAAAACTGAACTACTTGTCATCCCAGCAAAACCATCCATACAGCACAATATCTCAATCCAAAATGGCTTCCTATCTCTGGCTCCTTCAAAGGCAGTTCGAAATCTGAGTGTTGTGATTGATGAACACCTGACCTTTAAAGATCATGTTACCTCTGTTGCTCGTTCATGCCGCTTTGCGCTGTATAACATATGAAAGATCAGACCATACCTAACACAACATGCCACCCAGCTCCTGGTGCAATCTACTGTCATCTCCCACCTCGATTACTGCAATGCCCTTCTAACTGGTCTTCCAGGCTGTACTGTGAAACCTCTTCAAATGGTTCAGAACGCAGCGGTGCGTCTGGTCTTCAATCAGCCTAAAAGAACACACGTCACCCCTCTGTTCATTGAGCTCCACTGGCTACCGCTAGCAGCACGCATCAAATTCAAATTGCTAACACTAGCATACAAAGTCCGAGACGGTACGGCTCCCATCTACCTGAATCCTCTTGCAAAGGCTTACGTCTCGGCCCGGCCGCTCCGGTCATCACAGGATCGTCAGCTAGAAGTGCCTACACCACGCTCAGGACAATCCAGACTCTTCTCATGCATCATTCCACAAATGTGGAATGACTTACCAAGCACCAAGAGAACAGGGGATTCCTTTTCGACTTTCAAGAAACTCTTGAAGACCCTGCTCTTCAGAGAGCATCTTCTAAACTAGCACCCTCCCTGCACCCGTCCACCCTCTCTACTGTCCACTCCTGTTCCCTCCTCTCCATGACTGATGTCAAGTTGTTATTGTTATTGTTGTTGTTAGCCTCAAGGGCAATTTGCCGATTATCACTTGTAAGTCGCTTTGGACAAAAGCGTCTGCTAAATACATAAACCTCTTCCAGGCTGGTTATTTGTAGAGATAGAACATCAGTGTTGCAGAGCAGAGATCAACCTATACTTGAGACCCCTGCTAATGTGTTAAAGAAAACAAGTGAACTCGGTCTTTACTTTAAACACAATCTCTGTCATTTACCATAAATTTGCTTTAAACTTTATCAGCCCCTTCCACGGCTGTCTCTAGTTGTTCACTATTTTACACCCATAGAAACTGTATTTAGAACCTTTTGAGTTCATTCTGAGGAAACGTTGTGCAGTACAAGAGTGAAGCCCTGTAAACATTTCAATACATTTCTTGAAACTTGTGTTTGCTAAATTAGTCTGCTGTTAGCCCAACTTTCCACCAGATGCGTAAACATTGTGTAACGTCCTTGAAGTGTAATAGCAGCTAATGGCTGCCGTTCTAGGCTATGTGTGTATGTCCACCGAACGCGGTGCAGCTCGTTTTTGCCCCAGAAGCGTTGTATGTTTAGCGGAGCGCTGCAACACGATTGGGTCTTTTTATTTATTCATTTATTTTTTTACCAGAACGCATCAAGCTCAGCAGTTCAGATAGGGCCAGACAGGAAGTCAAACATGGGAGCATTGTGAAAGGTCTGTCAACTTTCCAAGTAAAAGAATCTTGCAGATCTGTGATTTCCTGGTAAACCTCCCAAGCCAAGGTAAAAAAATCAGAATAAACCACAAACCTTTTGAACACATGCTGCTGTCTTTCTCCTTGCTTGCTGTTGTTTGAACAGCTGAAATCCCACGCGACCTTGAAATTCTGTGGTGGAATTGTTTTGCTGCAGATGCGCATCTGAAACGCTTCGGGTTGAAGGGAACGCGCTGTTAAGGTCACAGGGTAAACTCGTTTATTACATTACACGCCGCTTACGCATCTGGTGGATAGCCGTGGGTGACTGTCCCATCCCAGTGAGATATTGAGTTTTAGTTTGCTCAAGAACTTGCTGTTGAACCTTGCCAATTAATTTACTTCAGATGATTAATAAGGTACTCGTATCCATCTAGGTGCTTCAGCACACCCAGGTGAGATTATTTAGATGCCCAGGGATTTCATGCCACCCACGTCTTCTACTTGGTTTACGGGTGGAATGGGATTCACCTTCCCTTCTACTATTATCCACAAAGGTTCACTCTAACTTACCTTTAAAGTCAGGTGATGGGCACACCACTACAAAGGATTTGCCACCGCTGATCACCATGGTGCCATCTGCAAATGGGATTAAGTTTGCTGAGGGAGAACCTGGGATTTGACACACGTTTGGATTTAAAGCTTATTGTGCTTACAGGTCTAGTGCTGTTCCAGCTGAAAATGAGTGTGCTTTCTTTCAGGGTGCTTGATGACAATATTGCTGCAAATCTTCCACCAGAGGTGAGAGAAAACTGACGATTGATGCTTTGAATTTCAAACCACCTTGATAACATATGGATTTAAAAAAAAAACATAATTGTGTTTCAGGAAAAACTGGACGAGAGTCAGATCGACGCAGCCTTCAAGAATCTCTTTAGACAGCTAGCCGGAGCAGTGAGCTCACACTCTGATGTACAGGAGGACAACATTCTCTCAGAATCACGGGCTTTAACTTGTCTCTGTCCCAACAGGACATGGAGATCAGCCTCAAAGAGCTGCAGACTATACTGAACAGGATCATCGGCAAACGTCCGTAACGGGGAGTTCTGTTAGGTTCTGCGTGTGTTTCTGTAATGAGGCTGCAGGATTACTTCAATTCTTTATTTGTGTCACCAGATAAGGACCTGAAGACGGACGGCTTCAGTAAAGAGTCTTGTCGCAGCATGATAAACCTCATGGACGTATCCTTGAGACGTGGTTGAACTATCAGCTAAACGCTTTTAGAAACCAGACCTGGTTAATCTTCTAGGATCTTTTTTTTTGGGGCACTTCAGGACCTCTTGCAATAGTAGCTTCTTCACAAGTGGTGTAAAAGGTAATATCAGAAATGTTCCTGAGCTCTATTACTCAGACGGATGGCAGTGGGAAGCTTGGGCTGACAGAGTTCCATGTTCTTTGGGAGAAGATCAAACGATACTTGGTGAGATTGAAGGATGAAAGATTAACTTGGAAACTCCTGTCATTACTAAATGTGTGACTGCCTGTTTATTTAATGTTTTGGTTCCTTCTCTTTCCCGGTCTTCGTGGGTTTGGTGTAATTCCAGACAATATTCAGGCAGTTTGACTTGGACAAATCGGGCACCATGAGCTCCTACGAGATGAGGATGGCTCTTGAATCTGCAGGTACTCACCTGTTTAGATCATGCAGGTAACTCGTGTTTATTGGTTCTACTTGATTGATTTTGTCTTTCCTTATTCAGGCTTTAAACTCGACAACCGCCTGTTCCAGCTGATCATTTTGCGCTACACTGAAGAGGACATGGCTGTGGACTTCGACAACTTTGTCACCTGCCTGGTCCGACTGGAGACCATGTTCAGTAAGTCTTCAGTCCTTAAGTGTCCTTAAAAGAAACGGTTTGTCTAGTTCAGGGCTATTCAAGTTCGGGCCGCAAGAGCCGGTATCTAGCACGCTTTAATGGTTTCTCTGGTCCAACACACTAGATTCAGTGGTTGAATCACCTGTGCAGCAGCTCATCAGGCTCTGCAGAAGCCTGTTAATCACCTGCTGATTGAAATCAGGTGTGTTGAAGCAGGGTTAAAACTGAAACGTGCTGGATACCGGCCCTCGAGGCCTGGAATTGGATAGCCCTAGACTAGCTATTCATCTCAACTAAACGCCTTTGGAAACTTTGCTAAATCAGTTTTGTAAGAGATGCAGCAGAAATTAACAGGTGATTGGAACTAGCTTAAACTGCTAACTAGCTTAACCTGCTAACTAGCTTATTCTGTGAAATTCATAAATCTTAATGTAAACGCAGCATCAGTTCATCACCTCACGATCATCAAACACTAGTTCACACTAGTATCCCAAAGTATATACATGCTTTTATAGTTATTGGTAATAAATGACAAAATATAAATATTGTGTGTGTATATTTAATGGACCCACCACTGCTGTTTCAGCTGGTGCCTTTGTTGCTGTTTTAGCACAAACTTAAAAATGACACCTAGAATTTAGCTGCGCATTTAAGAAAATTTACTTCTCACAAAATGTTTGACAATAGAACCAGTCTATGCCCAGGAAACCCAAATCAATGTTTGCATAAGTAAAAGACAATAAAGCGTTTACCATCTAAGGTACTTTGTTCATTTTTTGCAGAAACGTTTAAGACCATGGACACAGATGCAGATGGTCAAATATCCCTCGACTTCTTCCAGGTAAACCCGAACTCTCCGTGTTAGTTTGCTTCCTGGTTTGTGTGACATCAACTTACCATACTTGTTTTTCTCCGCAGTGGATCACCCTGACCATGTTTGCCTAGAGATCCTGCTGCAGCTCTGGGCCCAGTAGTTTCAGAAGTGCCTTCTCTCCACCAGCTCCTCCTCTGCTCTGACACTCTCTTTTAAACATTGGGTACATTGGTCTGTTGCCTGTACTGGAAGAGAATTAGCCAGATGTTTATTTGTAGCTTGATTTGCCAAACGACCTTTAGCCCGACTGTCCGCTCTGTGCTGTGTTCTTCATCGATGCGATCTGTTTTATCCGTACAGAGCGTTACTGGGAAACGGGCCTATTGGTTTAGTTATAGTGGGTGGAGGCGATCAGTTATGACAGATTTTACTAAATGTTTTATATTTTTATAAACGGGATTTTATAACTTAGCTGTATTTGATTGGTGAAAGGTGAAACGAGGACAATGCGTTGCATCAAAATGTACTTTAAAAAATCAGTTTCTCGAGCAGTTTGGTTAAAGCCATTTGGTTTTAGCCTCCAAACATCAGCACAAGCTTAGTTTTACACATTTTTTTCATATTTTTGGATGGTGTTGCACAACTTATAGGTTTAGGGTTCTCCAGAGAATAAACGGGCTCATTATTATTTGAATGCACTAATTTAGTAACTGAAGAGGGTTCTACAATTTCACGTTTTATGTTCTAAACCTAATGTTCACTCCTATATTCACTTGTACCACACATCTTCCTACTTTCACTCTCAAGCACGGCTCAACAATCAGAATAAGTCACCTTGGGTCTTTATTTCTAAAGGTTTCAGATTCACTTCAAAAGATTCTTCTCGTAATTAAAATCGGCATTTTAGGGAGGATTTGTTTGCTTGTTGGTAACCTGGTGAAATGTGGCTTCATGCAGCAACAACAAACCAGACGTACATTAATTAGGACGCAGTGTTAATTCATGAGTCAGGGTCCGTTTGAAGCTTCAACGACCAGTTGGGTAAAACAAGTCTCCTTGTTTTACTCGCAGGTCTAAAAGTCCAACCTGCCAAAATATTCCACCAAGTTTGATTGGTTTATTTTTATTTTCTTATACTGGCGTTGGAATAAAATCAGTTGGCTACTCGGCTCATACGGCGTTCACCAGAAACCGTACATTCTACCAACACCTTGTTTCTTCTTATCCTTTAATAACCATATAATTAGTTTTTTAGGATTTAGTCGCCACCGTTCACCAATGTTAAAGGATTCTCTAAAGTGTGTTTCTGGGAATTTGTTCTCAACAGTTAACATCACGCCTGCAGTAAAAAGCAGTCAGAGCGGAGAGTCTGAGATACTCTCACGAGGATTCGACGGACGTCTCGTCAGATTGAGACTTAAAATAGCTCATTTTTTTTCCCCCCAAGCAAAACTTTTATTGTAATTCTCTGAAGACTGACCATGTTGTACCAGAATTTTATTACATACGGTGTAAAACAGGCGCAAACGTTGCTAAACTATTACATTGATGGTCTGATTAAAGAGAATGTCCTCAGATTAGCTGTTAGCTTGACTTCCCCATAAGTGTTACTCATGTTTTCATCAACTGAGATTATTTTGTCTGCTTGTGTTGCAAAATTTTGTCTGCAGGTAAGATACTATTTAACCCCCCCCCCCCCCCCTCAATAAATCCCAACAGTTTTATCAGTTTATTCAGCTGCTTATGCATCAATACAGTAGATGACACTAGTCACCTGTACCTTAATTTAAAACCAAATTAATTTTAGTGTTTGTGTGTGTGTATTCTAGACCCTTCTGCACTGATAAACTTAATAATATGCCTGTATGGTGCAGCGGTTCTTCTATACCAGATTAACCTGTTTTCATTAGAAGTAAAACGCCAGACTTTGCTTCTTCTCTCAGACGTGAGGTCTCTGAGGAAGCGACTGGGTTGGACTGGTTTTTGTGACTTTGGATATAAAAGGGGACAGAAACTTTAAAATCATGTCCTTGCCTTCCATCTTTCAACAAATGTGCTTAAATATCTTTGCTAGCCTTTAACGTTTCCATTCAGCATTCATGAAACCTTACTGGGCTCTGCGGTTTGTGCAGACAAAGGTTTTGCACTGTATGATAAAGAATGTGTTTACTTCTATATACCAGTGCTGTTTAGCTTCATATGTGAACTGCTCGATGTTGTTCAAGGCATTTTAGACTGTTCTAAAATGTTGGGAGGAGATGATACCTTTATTTGTCCCACCTTGGTAATGGTTTTATTTTTATTTTAAAACAGGATGTCTGTTTGGTTTTTAACCTTCCAAAGATGAGATTACAACCTTTTAAGGTGAATATGAACAATTATGCAAAGTAAATGAATGTTATATGCATGTGGTGTTAAATGTGATCTGCCAAATTTATACTTTTTAAAGGGTATGGGTCATTTTCCAGCATTTAAGTGTTTCATTTATACAATAAAGGTTTTTTTGTATTTTGCAAAAGAAGAAATAGCATTTGCACCATGTTTTCACAAAACAACCTTTTTATATTGTATCCTGCTTTGACATCTTTGGGTTTTTTGCAGCGTAATGCTTATGCAATGTTTAAAGTTTACAGGGGCGATAATCCGGGTCCCTTTGAACCCATCGATCATGCAGCAGATTGGTTTACGGTGCAACTTTCTCTAAAACCTCTGTACACTCTTTCATAATAAACCTGGGGGAGGTTTGCACAAGCCTCTGATTTTCTCATCAGCCCGTTGGTAATTTCATTTCATGCATAAAGTTGAATCATTTTACAAAAGTAAGTCCAGCTGGGAAAGCGCCACCTCTCAGAAATAACCACACAAACTACGATTTTAATAAATAGCATTTTTAGTCACAACAGTCAATAAAAAAAACAAACATTTACACATTTTCAACAACAGAAATGTCAGATCCTCACAACAGATTTAGGATAATTGTTAAGTTAAATTGCAGACATTTGTACAAGCTGATCATATAAGTTGAGGAAATGCGTCATTTAAAAATGAAGATACAAAAAAAACGTGACTTCTTGTGGAGCCACCCTTTCAGGGGAATGTTAGTCCTGCAGGACACATGGAGGTTATTGTTGAGTTCCATACACAACTAAACCAAAAAGTTAATATTTTACCTAACAAAGATCACAGCTTTAGGTTTGCTTTAAGTGATAATTTGGATAGTTTGGAGTAGATTAAGTAAATTTCTCGGCAGTTGTAAAAAGCTCTGGAAAACCGAGTTGGCACTGACCAGATTGAACAAACTAGTGGGATGGTTAAAGTGCATCCTGTTACTAAAGTTTTCTACACTGAAGAAATAAAATCTTGAATTAACTTTATTATGTCAACTGACTCCACTAAACTTAGTAGCTAAAATGTAAAGAGTACTACGTCTACTTTAAACAATGTACATTACCTAGGACATTAATGAAGCTAGGTTTAGTGGTAACAGTTGACATAATTTGACAAAGTAAATTCAACATCTCTTACAGTGTACCATATTAAACTAGTCTGCTGAAAAAACATGACAGTTTAAAGAGCAAGTCACCCCCCTCCACCCACACTTCCTGTTTGAAAAATGCACCAAAAGGTGTACCAATAGCACAGCCCCCTTTATATACTATACACATATACATCAAACTCTTCAGCTACTTCTCTCATACTAAAAATCTGAGGTTTAGTTTTTCAGACATTGGATTAAATTAAGATTAAGAAATGGTCTTTTTTTTTTGCACAAAAAGTTTGAGAATGCTTTATGTGATAGTTTATTTTGATATCGGAAATAAAGTAATTATCCGATATTAGTTAAAAGATAGCAAACATCTCTAATTGTTATTTTGGGTAACCTAGGCAAAAGTGTAAAAAAAACTGTAACATGTAAATAACACACGTATGTTTTTTAGATTAAATTTGAATTAGGATGACTATAATCCATTTTTTAAACTAGTGTTGTTCACATTAGCAGTTAGCATGCCAATCCAGTGAGAACTTAGTTGGATTTTAATGATCTTTCCACAGACGTGCACTTCAAAACTTCCAAACTATCCCTTTAAGTGTCCTTGGTTTGAAGATGTGTCTGATTAGATGTAGTTGTTGTTGGGCTCAATCCGGGTCACCGCGGTGGAAACGAGCCTCTCCAGCTGCCCCGCTCGCAGTTTGCTCGCCTGTAGGACATCCTCATGATTGGCCTTCTCTTGGCTGTCGTAGTCCATCACCACCAGATTGGTGATCAGCGAGAGGGCAACCACGCGCATGCCGCAGTGGCGGGCCACGATCACTTCGTGGACTGTGCTCATGCCTAATGGGAAAATTGTAAATTAAGAAATAATGAGCTTTAAAACTTGCCTTTGTTCTTATTTTTGTGGCGAGTTTTCTTTACAGTGCATAAGTCCCTCATTGCAAAGGTTCTGCTATAGTTCTGAACCATTCATCACTATTAATCTAAAGTGAATGAACTTCATTAGTGTATGGCGGTTTTTGATATACTCTTAAAGATCACTCACCAACAGCATCAGCACCCAGTTTGTGCAGGATGCGGCACTCAGCAATCGTCTCGAATGACGGTCCACCCAGCACACAGTAGACACCCTCCTTCAGGAAGTCTCCATAACCAAGTTCCTGTCCAATGTCCACAGCCAGCTGCTGCAGCTCTCGATCATATGCATCGGACATGCAGGGGAACCGCACGCCAAACCTGCAGTACAACAAGAGAAATCCTCAAAAAACGATAGTCAACAAAAGAGATCAACAGGAAAATATTAATTTGGTGCACCCATCTTTGGATGACTGAAAGACCAAGATCACCTCTCATCGTTGGGTCCAACCAATGGGTTGTTGCCAGCGAAGCCAGGCATGTTGATGTGGTCTTTGATAACCATGATGTCACCCACTTTGAAGTCCTGGTTCAGTCCTCCGGCTGCGTTGGTGAGGATCACCGTCTCAACGCCGAGCATCTTGAAGATGCGCATTGGCAGGGTTATCTAAACACACGAGGTTTGGTTTAGAGCTCTAGAGTTACTGGACGGAGTCCAAGAGTCTAATCACACACTGATTTATGTTAGAACGGACTGACCAACCTTCTGGATAGGATAGCCTTCATAGAGGTGAAAGCGCCCCTGCATGCAAACACAAGGCCTTCCCTTTAAGGTCCCAAACACCAGCCGCCCTGCGTGGCCGTGCACTGAGTGAAGAAGCCACATCCAGTCAGTAATCGTCTAGTTTTCTTTTTTAGAGGTTCAATGCAACTTTCCTTACCAGTGCTCTGTGGAAAGTTAGGTATGTCTTTGTAGTTGAAGACCACTTGGTCCTTTAACATGTCAGCCAGCCCTCCGAGTCCCGAGCCGCACACGATGCCCACATTGGGTCGGATGTCTGTCTGCGCCAGTAGCCAATCAGATGTGGCCTTGCAGTCCTCATAGCTGAATCTGGATGGCATTTAAAAAATACATAAGGCAGACATTAGGTGACTGTCAGACCTATTCTGAAGTCTGTGGGTAGAATATTGAACCACTATTGTCTTAAACAGCTGATTTACCCATATAGGTAATAAAATTTAAATATCTGAGTTTAAAAAAATCACAGGTAAAATGTATCATTTGAGAAATTCATCACCTATTGGGACAAATCAAAAGTTTTGTCATCCCCAATCAGCAGTTGTCAGGAAATAAGATACAGTAGTAAACAGATCTTTATTCCAGCAAATAAATAAAAATGATGGGAAATTTCAAATCAATAAAGTTCATTATCTTGGTTCTGCTGTTCAACTGTGCCCCTTTCTCACCTTTTGCCCTTTTCCTATGCCCCCCTCCCTCCCTCAACATTCCTGGAGACTATTTTAGCCACCCAGCGTGTCCATGAAAGGGCCATGTGCTCAGCAGAAGTCTCCGTTTAATAGTGTACTCACCCTTTGTTTGTCTCTGGAAACATTTCAGAAGATTTGTTTAAAAGTCGGAGGTAAATGCGGTGAAAAGAAAAAACTTAAAGTTCCAAAAAATGGATAAAAATGTTAAAATGAAGCCCAGTTATTCTAATAAATTCATAGGAAATCAGTAAAAATTTAAAAGGAAGAAAAAAATGTTTTAAGTTTTTATTTCTATTCTGGAGTCCTCTGGCAGCTGTGTGTTCCTCTCCCTGGTGTCTGAGCCTCAGGCTGAGGTCTCCGGGTTTATAACGGCCCAGCAGCTGCGCTCCTCCTCCGCTCCAAATTACGCACGGAGATGCGGCTGCGTCATTGGCTTAGCGGGAACACCTTCAAAAATAAATCTGAAATACTTCATTGACATTTCTCCTCTTCATTCAGACTCCTCCTCCCAGAAACTCCCCAGAAGCAGCTGACGTTTCGCCACTAATCATAAATAACACACTTGGAAAGGAAGCGTCTGAGTTAGCGTCTAACGGTCACGTTACTGTTCAGTGAAGGGTCAGCCACAGCTTCATTGGTTTCATTCCTGGGATTTGTTCTGCTGCAAAACAAGAAATGTCACGTTTCAGCACGACATGGTGAATGTTTTGTTTTCAGCCTGCTGTTTTCAGTGTCATTTAAGGTATGGAAGCCAGTTCATGCCAATTAAAAGAAAAAATAAACAGACATGAGTCTGGAATTCAAACAAATGACATGAAAGTTGTGATGATTAATCATGATTATGGTTCCAATAGTGACTTTAAAATCTTTATTGTGGTTTTCAAAGTAATCTTAGAAACTTTTGATTGTTATGATGCTAATTCATGAAAAGATGCTAAAGGCTCATGATTATGTGATAGAAAACCATCAATTATGAGATTTTTTTATCTGTAAAAAATAACCCCATACTAAAATAATTTTAGCAGAGAATTGTTATATTTCTTTTAATGGCAGCACACACAGAGTAATTGGGATATAAGTCCAAACATTTTACCTGAGTTCTTGTAATTTACCAATAATTATTCTGCTTTATTTTAAATAATCTCAACTAATCAGTAACATTTAAAATAAAAAAGATTCGATGTAGACACATATTAGATTAAATCTCCTTCAATTATCAACCCACCAATTTGTGGAGTAGGAGTTATATTATGAGGTGAGTAATTCTTCAGTTGTGTAATACTTTATTTGTGTGGGTGTATTGATCTGTTGCCAGTAAGAAGGAAGTGATACATGAAATCTAGTGTTAGAAGTGTGTAAATGATTAAGATTACAGCTCGTTAAGTCATAAAAAGACTTCACGTTGCAGGAGCGAACACAATAACACGTTTCAAAAGGAATGTTGGCTGGACTAAACGTTCTGGTACTAATTTTCTATAACGTGAAAAATATCCCGACAAAAAAAACATGATAGCACATTTCAGTGACCATTACATTCTTGAGTGAAATGATCATAAAAATTAATATAGAAATTATTAAAATGATGAATATAGTACAAAACACTATGTAACATGAAGTTGTTTGACCTCACTGTTATATTCATTTAAAAATTTTAAAATTTTAAAGCAAACATGGTTTAGGACCAAAATTGTAAAATGATGTGCTTGCTGGGCCTAGTTCCCTTTTGTGGTCAATGAACAATATTACAACTTAAATCAACAGTAACATCACCCAACCCGCAGCAAAGAACATTTAATTTGGTCATGACAGAAAGGTCAACAGCTTTAAAACTGTTAGGAGAGACATAACAATATTAGCACAAACCAACTCTCCACTTCCTGTTTCTGCTTATGCATATGCTAGTTAAATGTTAGCATTGTAGCACAGCTAGCAGCTACAGGAAGCTAATGTACTAGCATTTAAATAAACTAATCTGTTCATAAATCTTTTTTCGTCATTTTTAATTAAGAAACTATTACATCATTTAGCGATTTCACGACATCAGCGTAACAGATGGATTAGTCATGAACTTAGTGAGGGAATGCGTTATGGGCTCGACACACGGGAGGTGACATCGCCTCTCCTCCATTCATTTTCAATGAGACATGCGTGACAAAGCTATAATAGCGGGTCTCCCTCCTACTAAGCAAAATGCGAAAAACCTGCGTGTGAAATTTTGCGCCGGTGCACGTGTCGTGCACAGGCGACCCAGCGACGCGATCCCAGAAAGTTGAAATATTTTCATCTTTTCATCTCCGTCACTCTGACGAGGACCAATCAACGGAGGTTTCATTCACTGACCAATGAGCGGACAGGATGCGCCGTACATCTCCGAGCAAACATGATTCTGTTTCTCCTTCTGTGAATGTGAGGTCCAAACCGTATGATAAACTGAAGCATGTCCTGATAGACAGAGAGTAGCCCTCTCCTGGTTTGTAATATGGGATGAACCCATTCTCGGGTATTTTTTTTATATATATAGTAAAATGAGAAGTAAGATTTCACATAACTCTAGCAGCACCTTGTGAACCATTATATCTACCGATTTTTTAACTCTGAACCGCCGGTTTAAATAACCTTAATTCCCTCCAACCTGACCCAGCCAATGAAAACAACGGAAGATTCGATTTCGCCATGGAACAGAGCGCATCGACGGCTTTGCCGCTGCCGCGGGTCGCCTCCCGTGTGTCAGGTAATAAAAGCGACAGCGACAAATTTCGCTGATCGCGGTCATTTGTCGCCTCCCTTGTGTCGAGCCCATTACTTCGGACAGCTTCCCTCCTCTTATGGGCTCGACACACGGGAGGCGACATCACCTCTCCTCCATTCATTTTCAATGAGACATGCGCGACAAAGCGATAATCGCGGGTCTCCCTCCTACTAAAAGGTCGCTTGGATGAGGACCAATCAACGGAGGTTTCACTGACCAATGAGCGGGCAGGATGCTCCGTACATCTCCGAGCAAACATGGAGGAGAAGTTGATTATTGTGTTTTATATGTAAAATCAGAAGTAAGATTTCACATAACTCTAGCAGCACCTTGTGAAACATCATATCTACCACTTTTTTAACTCTGAACCGCTTAAAAAACCTTAATTCCCTCCAACCTGACACAGCCAAACAAAACAATGGAAGTTTTGATTTCGCCATGGAACAGAGCGCATCGACGGCTTTGCCGCTGCCGCGGGTCGCCTCCCATGTGTCAGATAATAAAAGCGACAGCGACGAATTTTGCTGATCGCGGTCGTTTGTCGCCTCCCGTGTGTCGAGCCCCTTACTAATGTCGCAATGCACTGGTGTTACCCTTGTAAATGAAATTACTGACACACAAAAGATGAAACCAATCATGTTTGTGAGCTACAGGTCACTGCTGGTGGACGTGGTTAGTGTCAAAATGTTACGCAACAGTACAAAACTTGCTACTGTCCAGCATCATCGAACAGCTCCTCCCATTTTAATAGTTAAACCATAAAACTGTTGACTTTTTCTAGATCTAATGTTTCCTAAGCTGACTGTGTACCATTCTGTGGGTAACCTACATAACATCACATTTAATCTGCACCAGCCAAACCCCAGCAGCTCCCATCCTTCACTGATTGTTTGGCATGGACATGAACCAGACAGCTTTCCCCCTCAGCGTTACGACTTCCCTCTGAGGTAACATCCCGTCTGTTTGGGTTCTGTCTATCTCATATCTCATGTTGTTCTGATAGAAAGTTGTTCCCTCCGTCTGATATCACATAAAGGCCTTTGACACATTGACTTGGTCGTCCCTCCCCACATGGAGCTCAACACGCCTCCGGCTCAGCCAATGAGTCGGGAACAACTTGCCTGTTGCCGAAGGCTCTGTGATTACTCATTTATCTGACCCTTTGGGTTCACAGCGGAATGACAATCTGATATACGGTTCCGGGAGATTGTACAGGACAAACCTGCCTCATGTTGCTGGTGTTTGGCTACAAAGACACACCCAACTTTCCACAGATCATAAAATGCTCAAGTGGTGCAACAAATTAAATACATTTTCTCTTGGCTGGAGAACAACAGAACACCTAGAATTAAGGAACATGTTTCCATGCAGGATTGAATGATAAAGTGCCCGATGACGCTTGCATTTAAAACATCAGTTCCTGCTAGTTTTTCATGCATGCATTTTTAAAATATGTCACATAAAATGATGTGATTCTGCAGACACATAATTAAATGCTATGAATAAACGATGATCAGCACAAGCAGAGTGAAATGAATGATATGCATTCCTGACTTTGACTTGGCTGATATTTCCCATGAAGCCCTGATGTGACCCGACTAACCCATTCCTCTGGGGAACCAAACCTGACTTAACCAGATCTATTTTTAAAGGTTTAGTTTGTTCAGCTTGATTTAGAAAATATTTTAGTTAACATTTGTATGATAGAAGTGCTAATTGCTAGTTTGAATAGCTTAAATGTACAAAATTTCATAGGAATGAGTCATGCTAACATTATTTCATAAGCTTTTGCACCATAACAGCTCTTTTATATGCACTTTTATGAACAAGTAAAACAATAACAACTAATTAATAACTTTTACACCCCCGCAACACTGCGAGGATAAGCAGGTAAAGACAATGGATGGATGGATAACTTTTACACAAATCACTCATAGTCAAACTATTGTTGTTTAATTAAAGTCTATCACTGCACATTTACATACGTTCATACAAATAACAAACAACTAATCAATAAGTTTGACACAAAAATATGTTTCATTGTCAGACTATTCCTCAGAGACGACATACTTGCCTCTGAACTGCTCTTTATTGTTTTGCCTTCATCCACATGTCTGTTGTTTATCAGTCGGTGTTGTTGCTGCTTGACCTCACACTACCCAGCCTTACATGCTATTGTCATGACTAAGTGGAGGTAATATATATACTAAGCAGAGTCATAAGTAGAGGTTATATATATATATATATATATATATATATATATATATTATATATATATATATATATATATATATATATATATATATATATATATATATATATATATATATATATATATACTCAATTCCCAAACCCTACACATCATAACTAATCAATAAGGACCGATAAGAGTGTCAAATAGATTTGTTTGAGGGGATTAGCTTGTTAGCTAAAAACACATTATTGGTCACAACTTGTCACACAAGGCTGGGTCCGGAAACATTCATTTCAGGTGTGCCAGCAGCAGCAGTTTCAGGTTAATGCTAGACTAAAAATACGAATAAAACATTTTACAGTAAATATTTGTGCACTAAATACATCAACATACTACAAGAAATAAG